AAATAGATGCCAAGATTCTTAACTTTTCTTGAAAATGCAATTTTCGCATCACCAATTGTCATGTGATCGTGGTCAACCTCTTTAACAGACTTTGCATTGCCTGCCAGAATGACTTCTATTTTATCATCATTCAACATCAATTTGTTTCTGTTCATCCAGTTTTTCACTGAGACAATACAATTTTCAGCACGATGGACAAGTTCATCTAAGTGGGAAAACATTGTTGAACCATAAATTTGGGTATCATCAGCATAGAAATGATACTTTAGGTCATACTTAACTATTTCCTTGACAAGTGGTTGAGCATAAAAGGTGAACAAAACTGGACCGAGGAATGAGCCCTGAGAGACCCCATACTTAAGAGTATGATTTGATAACTTAAGCCCTTTAATAACAATTCATTGGTATCGATTTGATAGGTAAGAACAAAACTAGCTAAGGGGAGTCCCGGATAATCCAAAAGATACTTCCTATGGCAGTGTTTGTCCGTGGTAGTCTCACTCCTTGCCACATAGGCCCAGATCTTCCTGTTTTGAGATGTACACCGTCGTAATAAAGTGGAAGAAGCAGGTCTCTGAGTATCAATAACTGCACATAAAGCTGACTTGTGTTAGGCGCATCACCTTCGCACGCAGAAAACCCATTTGTCATCCAAGGTTAGCGGGCAAATAAAAGAGGCTTCCATTAAGAATCAGTAAGAAATGATTATACAACTACAAGGTCAGACGCCATGAAAAATAAGCTAACGACCTAACGTAACGTGACCTCCAACGACACATATATTTTATCTTTAGTTTACTTTATCTGCTAAAAGGCCAGTCCAAAAGAAGAAAGAGCCAGCAAGTAATTGTTGCCAGAGAACTCACGACACTGAGCTATACCGTTTCATATGGGAATAAAATAGTCCTGTGGAATTGCTTGACATTTGTTTTTGTTTTTGTTTTTGTTTTTTGTGGGGGTTTATTTTTTTTTTTTTGGGGGGGGGGGGGTGGAGAACTTTGCTGGCGGTGCTCAGGTATTCAGAACTAAAGTAACCGTAAGAACGTTTTCAAAACTAGACCTCATTCAATGGTTTTATTTTAGGGGGTAGTTTTAAAACGGTTAGAGCACGCAAGAAGCGATACAAGTAATGCCATTTCACTTAACGACCCGATCTTTTACAATACATCTTATTCATATTCATTCAATCATCCAGTGCCAGATCTGCGACAGATATCGGCGAAAATGGTTTTCTATTAATTCCTTTGCTCGGATGCTCTAAAAAAAGCTACGTTTCCTTGATCTTTCCCTGTTACCCATTTGTTTAGGTTCCCTAAATATGTTGTTCTGGGCCTACCCCTGCCTCGCTTGCACTCAATTTTGCCAGTGAGAGCAAGATGTTCAAGACCCTTATGTTTATTCAGGTGTCCCAAAAACTGCATTTGTCGTTTCCTGATTGTTTTTAATATTGAGCGTCCCACGTGGGCTTCATCAAGCACTACCTCATTTGATTTCTTTTCCTTCCACGATACTCTTAGCAGTCTCCTAAGAAACCACATTTCTGTTGCTTCTATTTTATTTTCACTGTCTTTAGTGATTGTCCAGCATGCACAGCAATATAGAAGGGTTGACCAAACATAACATTTCAGGACTTTCATTTTGGTGTTCATTGAGATGTTTCTATTTTTAAGGATTTTGCTCATTTTATTGAAACTAGCCTTAGACATTGCAGTTCTCCTTTTTTATTTCTGTGGAAGATTTGGCATCAGATGTTATCATATATCCTAGACTTTGATCTTTTCACCTTTGCTAATGACATTACAACTAGGATTTGCTGCCTTTTTGGATATTACCATGCATTCTGGTTTCTTTACATTCAACAATAATCCTTTACTTTCACTTTATTTTACAACAGTATCTAGAAGCAATTGAAGGTCTTTTTCGGAGCCTGATATTAAAATCGTGTCATCTGTATACCTGATGTTATTAATATTTTCTCCATTTACTTGAGACCTGGACAATCTTCTATGTTTCTAAGGATTGTTTCACTGTGCATGTTAAAGAGGTCTGTGACATAACATATCCTTGCCTCACTCTTCGCCTAATCTGCTTAAATTCCCTGTATTCTCCATTAATTCGTACAGCAGCGTTTTGGTCCCAGAACAAATTTCTGATAATTTTCAGATCTTTTCCATCTATGTCTAGCTTTTCAAGTCTTATTCATATAAAGAAACAAAATCCTCACGCATTCGTCTGGTATCCAAAGAATTTACGAGCAATTAGAGAGATGTGAAAATTGGTTAAAGCTTGTAATCAGTGTGAGTTTTAGGGGAATGACGGGACCAACGTTGGTGTGTTAAAAAAAAATATTAACATGATTAAAAACGCAGAAAAAATACCCTGAGATTTTTCAATAATTTATGAAACGTTGACAACGTTCATTTCAAAGGCACATTTCAAAGACAGTATGGAATAAAAAATAACTTAATGATGTCTTTAATGGGTCAGAATCGCTTCTTTCTACACGGATCTGGAACAAAAAATATGATTTAGATATGTATTAAGCTCATTGGAAAAGTAGCCCACTAATTTAAAGAAAACCTCGTCTTAGAGTTCTAACGAGGAGATAATACATAGCATTAATTTATCTTACCAACATAGTTTTGTTGTGTGAACCTGATTTTATTGAGCATTTATCCAACTACAAGAAGGTCCGGTCTCTTTGGAAAGAAATAGAAAAAAAGGTCTTAAGGAAAAATATAAAATAATGAAATGGTATGGGTTTAACTCCTCTTTCAGCACTCTTAATTTTGTTTAAGATATGGTAGTTTTAAGGACCAAGTCAACATATCTATTCATATAGACGAGAAAAGGTCGACCAAATAACAGAATAGGGCCAGTCTGGGCAGGAAACTAATTATTAATTATACTGCGATTAGCAAACTGATTATGCCAAAATTTTCAAATTATGTAAGTTAATTAAGGCAAAATGTAACTGCAAAAATATTCCAAGAAACAAACAGCAGGCTCAGAAAACTGTGCAAAAACGACGACGATGATGAAGAAGAAGAAGATGATGATGATGATGATGATGATGATGATGATGATGATGATGATGATGATGATGATGATGATGATGATAATGATGATGGCCAACATTTCAACAGTCCTGGTCACAATGGTAACTCTGATTTGCAGCTTCAGGGTATTGAAATAGTCCAATATCCAACTAAAGAAAAACTTAACAAAAGAGAAACAATGTGGATTTGGAACTTGGGGTCTCACAAAATTCTCACTGGCCTTAACATAGGCGAGCCCTATTTTAAGGACCTAAAATTTACAACGCAACGTACTAATCACCCCTTATGTTCCTGCAACCCTCTCCCTTTGGCCCTGCCTTTCTGTTATATTCCTTTCCTCCACGTACTAGTTATCTCTCTCTCTCTCTCTCTCTCTCTCTCTCTCTCTCTCTCTCTCTCTCTCTCCATTTTTTGCCTTCGTGTTTCCCATCCTCTAGCCTTTTCGACTCATTGGTTGTGTTCACCGCACCCTTCCGTTATTATATCCCTTACCTCCATGCATATGTTCCCCCTCCCTCTCTCTCTCTCTCTCGCTCTCTCTCTCTCCCTCTCTCTCTCTCTCTCTCTCTCTTTCTTTCTCTCTCTCTCCCTCTTTTCCTTTGCCTCTCTCTCTGCCACCTCTGGCCCTAGTGGTTTTTTTTCTCTGGCCTTTCCGATTTGTGTTCACCGCACCCTTCTGTTATTATATTTCTTACTTCCATGCACCTTTCCACCCCCCCCCCTCTCTCTCTACCCCTTCTGGCTTTAGTGTTCCCTTCTCTCCGGCGATTTGTACTCTCCGCTCCTTTAAATATTCAGACATTTATGTACGCACTTAAGTTTTTATAGCCTGTGTATATGATGATGATGATGAAGATATTTCCTATATTGTCCAAATCACACCAATACGTAACTTATAGTGAACACTTTGTTGCTGTGGCTTCATCACTCATTTATTTTTTTCTCAAATACTATGTTCCCGATGAAGCCTTATTGGCGAAACGTTGAACTGTGAAAAATATATATTTTTGGAAATACAACAAGGTCTTAACTGTTTTAATACCTTCTTTATACAATGATGATGATGGTGATGATGATGATGATGATGATGAAGATGATGATGATGATGATGATGATGATGATGATGATGATGATGATGATGATGATGATGATGATGCAGGTAAAATGCTTCGAATTCCGTGATTAAATGGATACAGAAAAGCCTTCTTAAAGATACGTTTTGTTATCAGGCCTTAGAAAGGCCTTTGTAGAGAATGACCTTTTGTTATTCTCAGCCGTATGAGCCCTTGAATTTCTTGTTGTTAGTATTGTAGAAAAATAGTCTGAATTCTTCTCTCATTTAAAATCGGGTTCCAAATAATCTCTTATTTCATGTTTTGAATTTTTTTCACAAGCTGGTTCTTCAAACTAATAGGCTGGCAAGGAAAAACAGTTGCTAAAGTACAAATAGCAAATATTTCGTGTCCAAAAGTAGATGCAAATAGTTAGGTCACAAAATAGATTTTTATCCTTTTCTAAGTGCAGTTTTGTGCCTATTCCTTTCTACAGTAACCTCTAGAGATTTTTTAAAAAGTCCTTGACATTATGCAGGATAATCATCGTCATAGGAAAGACCTGCTATATTTCGTCTGGGTCATAATATAGGTCTGTAGGAAAATAATGGGCATATTCCGTTCTTACATTTTATTTAGAATTTTTATGTACTGAAAGCAAACCACAACCATTGTTAATTTTTTTTGGGGGGGGGGGGGGAATCTGAGGAATTTGAGACGACAGCACTTTAGCAGTTCTTGACCGACTTTCTGTCAAAAACCTTGGGCACAAGTATCAAACACGTACATTTTTTTGACACGTGCACTTTGGGAACTAGCAGATGCCGTTCTGCTGAGAGATGTACTGATCATATAAATATCAGCCTTCCTTGTAAGGCGTTCACAGGACAAGACCAAGATCGGACTGGTCGGCTCCTTTTCCCTGCAGTTGTCTGTCTTCTCCTGGTTTCGAAACTTCTTCTTGGAGCAAAATGAAGGTAAAGTTCTGTCCAGTTTACTTTTCCCCGGTATTTTTTTATACTTTTGGTCAAAGATGTGCGTTTTAGCTCAAATGCTTTCCCCTAAATTTGCAGTATTTTCGTATTTCTAAAAAAATAATTTCATTTCCTTTTTTCCCTGTTTGTTTCCTTTTCTGATATACTTTAACGATTACTTTTCAACCATATGTTTTCCAGTCTTCAGTATTGGTAGAGACATGCCGTTCCCTGAACTAGTGTTTATAGTGGTTAGGCGGTTTGCCGTCACACACAGGACACCCGAGTTCAACTCCTGCGTGGAGATATTTTTTATCGACTGTCGCGGTCTTTTTACTAGTACGTTGTATCCCTCTTAGCCCGTTTTGATCCTGAAATGCGGTGTCGACCCCCCCCCCCCAATAATTTAAATATTTTCGTTCTTTGAATTAAAACATCCACAATCAATTTTGCAACAGCTGTTAGTCGATCTGGTATGATTGTGGACTCCACTGAGTGAGACCCTGGTTTGAATAGAACACTGTTTTATACAGTATTATAATTGTCGTTACGAGACGAGGCAATGACAGAAATAAAGTTAATAATTGCATCACACAGTACGAGTGTTTTATTGTATAAATGTGCGCTCCAGAGAAGCGAACCTCTGAGGTATTGCAAGATAGGAACTTTGTTTGAAATGAGAAAAAAATCTGCAATGGATGGGGTCCTCATGCTATTTCTTGACCTGCCAGGACTATTATTTGGTCTAAAACCAATGTCGTGACAGCGGGTCAAGTGTTTCGTCTTTAGGATGATCTACACAGTTTCTTATAGGAGTTAGTCATCATCGTGTGTTTAATGAAAAATAGGTTGCAACTGAGAGAGGATTTTCTAAATACAGCTATACACCCCCCCCCCCCCCTATCTACACAGTATCTCATAGGCGTTAGTCATCATCATCATCATCATCATCATCATCATGTATGTTTACTGAAACATAGGTTGCAACTGAGAGAGGATTTTGTAAATGCAGCTATATACCCCCCCCCCCCCCATCCTACACTATTTTTGTATTGAGATCAGTGGTGTATGTTCTGCCTCGTGTTCAAAACAAATAAATAGGATGCGTATGATTTGAAAACGACAAATGACAAAATAATACATCGTTGAAACATGGATCCGAAGTATGATATCCTAAACAACATTATACCCTCATGGCCGAAGCTCTCTGCTCTTTATAAAACTTTTTTTGCGATGGATTCGCACTATGAGCGTCCAAATAAAGGGGAAAACAGCTCTTCAAGTTCAAGCGGCTCATTTCCACCTTGCCTTACATTTGGCAGCAAATTGAATTAAATGATGTTCTCCATAGTGAACTGGAATTACGTCAGATTGCACGGTCTAGGTTAGTATGATCCAAATCTATGTGTTGAACATGTATTAATGCCCCTATTTCGTAGATGGGACGGTTAAAATTCCAGACAGAGGGCTTGCGAGGGGGAAAATACCCTGTATTTCTTAGGCAATTCGTGTTGTTTTGTTTCTTTCAGATTGCTTGTGTGCTTCTTCTGGTTGCCTTGATGGTACACGGTATGTATGTATGTATGTATGTATGTATGTATGTATGTATGTATGTATGTATGTATGTATGTATGTATGTATGTATGTATGTATGTATGTATGTATGTATGTATGTATGTATGTATGTATGTATGTATGTATGTATGCATGCATGTATGTATCTATGTATGTATGTATGTATGTATGTATGTATGTATGTATGTATGTATGTATGTATGTATGTATGTATGTATGTATGTATGTATATATGTATATATGTATGTATGTATGTATGTATGTATGTATGTATGTATGTATGTATGTATGTATGTATGTATGTATGTATGTATGTATGTGTGTATGTATGTATGTGTGTATGTGTGTATGTGTGTACGTGTGTGTGTGTACGTGTGTACGTGTGTACGTGTGTACGTGTGTACGTGTGTACGTGTGTACGTGTGTACGTGTGTACGTGTGTACGTGTGTACGTGTGTACGTATATACGCATGTAGCCTATGTGTTGGGGAGACTGTCTTACTGTTTTAAAAAGTGTATATATCTGATCAATTTGTATTGATTTATCGAAGCACTAAGGGATATAGCCAAGCAGATAAACAGACACACACACACATACACACACATAAACACACACACACACACACACACACACACACACACACACACACACACACACACACACACATATATATATGTATATATATTCATTTTCTTTAAAATCTTACTTTATTTGTTACCCACAATACCTATTTTTATGTAGAGAGCAGCCAGAGGTTGACAGTGTCTGGCAAAACATTCCGACTCAACAACCAGCAGGTTTTCCTGTCCGGTGGGAACCTACCCTGGATTAACTACGCCCGGGATTTCGGCAACCACCAATGGTCAAAGGTCAAGCCAAAGATAGAAGAGCAGATCAGACTGCTTCATCAGGCTGGTGGAAACACTATGCGTGAGTGACTATAAAATTATTATTTTAGGTGCATTTACATCTCCATCGATACGTGTTAGAACACTTAGTAGGCGGGATTCCGACCCTGCCTCTAGGTTCCTCTATAGTGGTGGCGGGTGGCGGGTTGTCGCGCAAGGGTTAATCGCGCTGGAAAATTCGCGCCCAATCGCTTGCCGAGTTTGGTGTACATAGCAAAGCGGGAACAACAAAATCTTCCACAGAAATAAAAAGGAGAACTGCAATGGCTAAGGCTAGTTTCAATAAAATGAGCCAAATCCTGCCTCATTTGAAGAAAACTTTTTGTTGGCAGACAGCAGTTTCACGAGGTTTCTTCTGCCGGGTATAGGAAGAAGGAGATAAACGAAAGAAGACCCATTGACGGTGAATACCACCACCTTTTCCACCAATTGATGGTTTACCCAGAGAGATTTCATTCCGAAACATGAATGAATCTAAGTACATTTGACTGCATTTTGAAGAAGGCAGAATCTTCTACCTGGAGCGTGACACGAATTAGGACCAGCCAAGTTGCAACAGTGATCACACAGGAGCAAATTTGGTGACCGACTGCACACCCCGGCGCGAGACGCGCGTCAAGAACTAAAAGTTGGTTCTGGTAACTTTACCCGCCAGGCCGCAAATTAGCAGCGCCTACACACACGCGTTGACCATGTATGCTAAGCCTACATAAAAGAGTGTGTCACTTTATTCGCGTGGCCTCACGCGACTCAGTCCGGGCGTACGATTTCTCGAAACTAAGGGTGGGCCGACTCCGAGAACTTCTGAACTTTCGACTCCGAACATTTTGGGGTTCGAGTTCGTCGAATTCGACTCCGAATCCGAATTCAGGTCAAGGTAGCAGCCAATCAAATTTTGAGGAAAGGCAAGATCAATTAGGTCGGATTCGTGTCAAGTCGTTCTCACTCCAGAAGTCGAGTCGAACACGCTGTAGAGAATCCCGACGCCACGAACCCCATGCAGATAAAGAGGGCAGGGAGGGGATGGAGGGGGGGGGGTGGGTGGGTGGGGGAGGAGCGGGGAAGAGGTCGCAGAGATCGGGATTGAAGTTTTAAACAATTAGACATGTTTTCGCTCCTTGTGTTCCATTTCCCCCTTGGCTGCCCTAGTTCAGGAATTCGTGTTCGGACTCGGCCTCCTGCCCAATGTTCGAGCTCCGACTCCGACCCCACGAATTCGTCGAATTCCGAACCTTGACTCGACTTCGCCTATGCTTACTCGAAACCCGCCGCCTCTACAAACTCTGGCTATCAGTGGCAACGCGAGACGAGAGGGATACAACACCCCAGCAGAAAGACCGAGATTTTCGATAAAAAAAATAAAAAATCACCTCTCAACAATTGAACGTGGGTCCACTGCGTGCAACAGCGAAGCACTGAACCGCTACACCATAAACCCCGATTATGTTAAACGTCCAAGGGTTGAAACAGGTTAAACTTACAAAAACACATCCACCCTCTCTTTGCCAGAGTGTCTCTGTGTCTTTGTGGACATATTGCAGGTAATGGGGTAAATACGTTAGCCAACACTTGAGAATGAACATAATTAACGCAATGGTAATATGTTTTGGTTTTTTTCTTCTTTCTTCATCTCCGTTGCGTCCCCTCTTTCTTTCTGTCTGTTATTCCTTTTAAGATTCGTCAGTTTTGTTTGTTCAAAACTAACACCATCAAATAGAACGATTCTTATAGAAATATATTCCAGAACTGTACAGTAAATCTATTATCGACATCAAATGTACACAAAGAAAGAAGCCATCCGTGCGGAGGAAAAGTGCCCTTTGACACCAATCTACGAAGTAAAAAAAAATCTTGAAAAGACAAGCCAGGATTGCCATAGATTTAAAATCTGAAAGGTCAACGTAAATGGAATCAAAGTTATTTATTTTTAAAAAACGACGAAATTTTTGTGCTGGACGTGCTATGACATATCAAAGGGGAACATACATCTGATACGTATTGGTAACACGGAAAAATTCTCCCAAAGCTCATTTTAAAAGATATTTTCAACATTACTTTTTAAAATAATGAAAGCTGATATACTAAGCTTTAAATTGAGACAAAAATCTTTTGCATATGATAAAAATGAGAGAGGTAAAAACGCATTAAAAGACCCCCCCCCCCCCCAAAAAAAGAAGAAAATGTTGAAAATTCACGAATAAAACAATTATCATTGTGCGTAAAATTTTGAATACAAACAGAAGGATATCAAAACAACAATAAACGAAGGAAGTATCAACGCATTTTTAAAATCAGTTTTAGATTTTTCAATAAAATATGCTAATTTTTAAAAAAATTACCAGTCTCCAAAAGTCAGATATATTTTTCTTAAAACTTTGTGATACCAAAAGTGATGAAAAATACTATTAATCACTTAAACATTTTTTTTAAAGACAAAAGATGGCAAAAAACAATACAGAAGAAATGACAAAATTTTAAAGGAGGTCGATCAAGCAAATGGGATCTATCGCGTGTGCAGAATTAAAAAATGCTGATTTTCGACAACCAAATATTTATAATAGACAATAGCGCAAGCACTGATCACTCCTACATTAAAACAGTATTCATTAAAATAACAATCATCTTATCGACCGATTTTTTAAGTTTGAAAATAAAAAATAAACTAGAATAATATGCTCCCTAATACTTATAATTTGAGATAAAACTGGTGATTCGATCATTTTGCCTTTTATCCGGTGTATTTCTCCATTATACTATCCAGATGACGTCATTTCGATAAGATTGGGCAAAGGGAAAATATTCATAGTAATAGTAACCATTCTTCAATTCTTCTTTTTCTTCTTCTTCTTCCTCTTCCTCTTCCTCTTCCTCTTCTTCTTTTACCTCTTCTTCTTCTTCTTTTTTCTCTTCTTCTTCTTCTTCTTCTTCTTCTTCTTCTTCTTCTTCTTCTTCTTCTTCGTAGTAGTAGTAGTAGTAGTAGTAGTAGTAGTAGTGGTAGTGGTAGTAGTAGTAGTAGCAGTAACAGTAGTAGTATCAACTTCTAACCCCCACTGCCGTCAATTTTTATACAGGACTGTGGGTGCACATCCAAGCCGAGTCAAGCCCCAAGTTTTCAAGCAGCGGTTTTGTCACTGCCCCTGACAATGATGGAACTTTACTCAACGACATCAAAGATCTGCTGGACACCGCGCTGAAGTAGGTCATTCAACACTAGAACTGGTTCTATTTTGTTCTGAACCTAACTGAAGGGGTCAGAAATAAAGGTTTAAGTCAAATTTTGCTAAGAATAGAGTTCTTACAAGTAGTTTGACACATGTCAGGGGAAACTACACAGCATAGCATTTGAACAACATTAATTGGATGGCTGTAAATCAGAGAAATAGCCTTTACAAATTGCCCAACTCGATTGTGCATCATGCTTACGTTCATCTGTTTTCTTTTTTCATGTTCTCAAAATGGCTTCTAGGTTACTAAGACCATTAAAATTTATTTTTGTGACTCTCTCTATTGATTAAGAAGCTAAATCTGTTTCAGACACAGTGTTGACCCTGGACCCAAAGTTCTTTCAATTTTCTATATTCGTATGATTAAGTGCATATTATATAACTGCACAACAAAGTTAGTTTAGTAAGAGTATTACAGCGCTCGCAATTGCTTAAGGTCATATGAGCGCGCTAACTACAGAATTTACCCATTCATAAGTTAATAAATGAACGAAGAAAAAAAATGAACGAACAATACATAAATGGTGTCTGATGTGCACAGGTGTGTTCATATTTTAGATATGAGTATAATTGTGTCAGGTGGTGTTTTGAGAACCTGGGTTATTCTGTAGTCTAAAGATAAATCTAGCAATACGAGTTACGCGTACACTTTGTCTTCATATTTCAACCATTGTTCGTTGATCATTGTTTCTGGAAGCCCCATTTCTGCATTCCGGACATATCCTTTGATGCTCTGTAGCTCTCTCCAAAATGTCGCCAAGGGTCTTTCCACTGACTGTGCTAGTGCATATCAGGTTGAACGTTCTTCTGTTCTTTCCTGCAAGGATGCCAGATTTTCTGCTTCCTTTTTGCATTGCCAAAAGCATCATCCTCTCCACAACAGTACTGGCCTTTGCCTCCTTATCTTTTTTCCTCCCCAATCAGCTGGCGAGAGAGATCAGGATCTCGACCCTGTCTGGTTGAACCGAGCTGTCAACTGAGGTGGTCTCACCAGCCAGTCTGTCTGATTTTTTTATTTCCATTAACGCCTGCATGGCCAGGGCAGAAAATCCATGTGAGAGATCGTATAGGCGTTGCTTCAATCAGTTGAATCCATTCTGTTGTCAGGAAACCGTTTTCGATCTTTCTGAGGGTATACGTGGATTCAGAGAAGAGAACAGCATGGATTGTGGTTGGGCGATCTTGGGTCATCCATTCAAGTGCTTTCGTGATGGCTTCAATGTCCATTCGCATACTTGATGTAACCCTGTTGAAGGCTCCAGATGCACTGTGGATGATTTTATTGTTGACGAATACAACAAATCCCCATTCACTTCACTGGCTATCTCTTTTCACTGAGCCATCTGTATACTTTACAGGATCCCCTGCTTTTGAGTTGTTGATGCAATATTTTTTCGGCCTCTACCAATGCTTATTTTGACCTTGGTGAGGTCCCTGTATTCTCCCGACACCTGTTCCCATTCTTCGCCATGTGGTAGACTCTCAGGTAAACAGATTTTTCTCAGATAATCCTCTACTTCCGCCATCCAATATTTTCCTCTTTTGATTCAGTGTCTCTTGTGGTCATGAAGTGCTTTGTGTAGTGGATGATCTTTCTTACCTATTACATTGAGATACATCTTTGCTTGAGCTAGCCTATGGCGTACTCTGATGCCACTTAAACATAGCAAGTAGCGCATCCACAATATTGGAGTGTCCTTGGTGCAGCCCACTACTGCTCTCATTGTCCCATTCTGCACTCGATCCAGCTGTGCAATCTGTGTGTCGGACAGCGTGAGACAGCCAAATCCGTAATAAATGACAAACAGGACGACCAGCAGCAACACCAGGAAGAGCACTCTTTGCGGAACTAGAGCGGCCGCCTTGGTCTTGATTGCGCCCACATCTCGTTTGGCCTTTGCAACGACATGATGCACTTGTTCGTTGAAGGACAACGACCGGATTCCCAGATACTTCAGCTCTGACTGTCTGTCGATAATCTCATAGTTGCAAGTGATTGGTGGAGTTATGTCTTGAACAGTCCTGTTGTCGGGGAAACACAAAAGTACCTGTGCTTTTGAAGGATTGATAACTGTTTCATAGCCAATATCAGCCAATAGCTGTTAGTGCTAAATGAACTTTTTTTTCAGTTGTCAGAGTTGGACCAGAGATAGGCAGTTGTGTCTCTGCTCGGATACTCTAAAAAATCATGTACGACTCTGGTATTCTATTGTGTCTCATGCAATCAAATCTGTTGTTATTTTTCATGTCTTTCCTTTCTATATTCTGACAAAATGAATTCATATCAAACTTCACACGCCTAAAATACAATACGTAATGAAAAAAAAAATTAACCAACATGTCAATAGGGACATCGGTGTTTTATTGATTAGACTCACGGGTTAGCAAACGAGTGGTCGTAATTTCGAACCCCTTCAGGAGCCGGACATTCTGTCCTTGTGGAGGGTACTTTACACAGAATTTACATTTCCTCATTTCACACAAGCAAAACTTAATACCCGATTTAGACCGCCAAATGTCTTGTCACTTTGTGTGTTTGAAAGCTTAAGCGGCTTTTTGTACTGTACGATTCCTGAGAAGCCAAAAGTGTTTCTGGGCTTTGTGGGGTCTGTCGTGGTAATAATAGCTGTAAAACGCATAGTAGAGTTTGCTGTAGAGCATGGCTATGTGCTGAAAAAAATGCAGTTATTCTGATTAATGGAAAGGACATTTCTTCAATGTTGACACTTCCGTCACAGGTACGACGTGCTCATAATCCCCTGCTTGTGGAACGGAGCCGTCAACCAGGATAACGCCCACAGGCTGGAAGGGCTTGTTACGTGAGTTACGCTGATACAGCATTACACTTACATCAAATTAATATACGGAATAGATTAAAAACCGGGAATAGTAAACATTCTAACAACAGATTGCATCTGTGTAAAAGAGAGTGAGCGGGTCTAATTACAAATAAATAAATAAATAAATAAATAAATAAATAAATAAATAAATAAATAAATAAATAGATAAGTAAATAAATAAATAGAAAACCCAAAAATATATACATGCATGTATGTGTCGTAGTCTGAATTTGTGTGCACTGTACATGCATGTGTGTGTGTGTTTGTGTGTGTGTGTGTGTGTGTGTGTGTGTGTGTGTGTGTGTGCGTGCGTGTGTGTGCGTGTGTGTGTGTGTGTGTGTGTGTGTATGCGTGTGTGTGTGTATGTGTGTATGTGTGTGTGTGTGTGTGTGTGTGTTTGTGTGTGTCGACGGTTAAACCGATAGATTTAGTAGATAGTTGAGCTGTTGTATAATACATTGACACCAGCACGCATACCCTCTTACATATATATACGTAATCCATTGAAATGTTGGCGTTTTATGCACCCATCGTCACAATTTAGATCATTTAGGAGGTGACCCTCAACCCTTCTTGTCTAGTCCAACCCATGCTGAGAGGGATATAACACCTCAGCAGAAAGACTAAGCTATATAAGGTACTAGATTAAAATTCTCCCTAGTCGGTAATCGAACTCGGGTCTCCTTCATGCGACGTTGAGCCTATAACCGCTGCACTACAGCTGATGCTGGTCAAATACGAATGTACAGGCTGAGAGAAAGACGGCTAAACAACAAGAAGAGTTGATAAGTGGATAGATGAAGAGGGATTATTACTCTTTTTAATACTTTTCAAAACGTTTTTGCCACCCATAATGAGATTTACAATAATTGTGGAACGCAGAATTTAGATCTGAAGTTAGATTTCAGTGAGCGCGTCAGGTTTTAATGTTATTCGTTGTATTCATTTTCCTTACATCAATGTCTGAATGCAAGTTTGACTAATCTATCGGCTTCATAACGTTTCATAATTTAAGCTTTCTATATAATAAACAGTAGTCTATAATATCATAACAATGATATAACAATGATATAACAAAAACTGGAATTGTTAATATTATGATATTTAACAAATTCCAGTTTCCAGACATGAAATCAACGTACCAGATAATGTAAATAAGCCTTTTATTGGTTGCCAAGTGGCTAAATCTTTGTTAAAGAGTGTAATAGTCCTATTTTTTCTTGATTAATATTAACTGAACTTGTTTTTCAGTAACCAACAAAAGTTGCAGAGCTACATAGATAAGGCACTCAAGCCAATGGTAGCAAAGGTGAAAGGTCACAAGGCACTGGGCGCATGGGAGATTATCAATGAACCTGAAGGACTGATGATTCCGGGCGTGGTAATTTTTTTTTTTCCTGATTCGTTTATTCGTTTTTATTTTTGCGAGACAGACCGAGGTAGTCACACACAAACACACACACACACAC